TGGAAGAGTTTATTAGTAATTTCAAATATGTAAACATTTGATTTATAGTTGTGAACATTGCCTTCCTTGATGTTTTGTTACTAGACTCTCCAATTTTTTTGTATTCCATGCCTCATTATCTTCTTGAACATTTAATTTAATCTATACTAACAACCATTTATGTTTCATTATTATTATAGGCTTATTTTCTTGTAATAGACATATTACGTTTTCTGGTACCAGAATCTGTTCTTAAGCACTTAAGATGGCTCCCTGCTGAGCTTTTGAAAAGTGTTTTCACTGAAAATACAGCCTCTTGTACTTTTTTTTTTGTCAAACAATGTTTATGTCACAACTCTGTAAATAACTGAAAAATCATAAGTTAATCCTGTTATTCAACACTCTGTCCAGATTCTCTAACAAAAGAATGAACTTGTTTTCTTCTAATCTATATTTCCCTATAATGGTCACAGTGAAGTTGGCAATGCATGCCATGATTTTCTAGATATAGAAGGAGAATTCTAAACTTTCTGCATTCTGGAAAACACCACCCAACTTATAAGGGAAGGATGTTTTCAAGTCTTAGGGACTGCACCCAAGAAAATATCTGGGCAGTATTATGGAAGTGCTTGCCAATGTCTTTTTCCAGGCTGTTCTTTTGACAATCCGAGCCTAATCAACACTGGAATTGTTAAGAAACCCCGCCTCCAAGTAATAAATTTGGGCCAATTCTTAGTTTCAGAGATAAGCTATGACTGATTCAGTGCAGCCCCTTGTTAGGTCTTCTAACTCAGGGGTCTCCAACCTTGGCAACTTTAAGACTGTGGACTTCAATTCCCAGAGTTCCTGGCTGGCTGAGGAACTCTGGGAGTTGAAGTCCACAAGTCTTAAAGTTGCCAAGGTTGGCTGGAGACCCCTGTTCTAATTTATGTAAGGGATGTCACAATGCCCATATCAAAACAGGTATTTAAGGGCAAGTTTCCTGGGGGCAAAATTAAGCATTAATTAAATAGTGAAAGACTATTTGTTTATGATCTGAATTTAAATCTGAAAATTTTAAATATCCTTTTCCAATAGTTGAAACTCTGTGGTTGAAGCTTCCCTTCCTGAGAATTTTGCTGCATCTCTCTCCAAAATAGGCCTTTATATTTTTGAAACTGTATTATAGGAATATGCATAAAAATGCTATGTATGATGTAAGAAATCATTTTTAAAGTGTTTATTTGACTTAAAACATTCTGTATAAGTGAAGCTCATCTATCCAAATCTCTTGCTGTTTCCAGGGCATTTTCAAATTCATTTTCCTCATCTGAGCTATTTTGCTCTTGGTAGTCTTATACCAACTACAACAGATGCAGCCCAACTTTAGAAAAGAATGGAAATGACATTCCTGTTGTATATAGACATTTGCATACTCGTAATACTACGTTCCGATTGGACAGTCACTACCGCCTAGCGATTGGTGGTTAACAACAGTTTATGATTGGCTGCCCAAACGGCGGGAGGTTTAAAATAACGCCATTGGTTGCGAGCCGCGAGCAGCCGCTACAAAAGAGGCTGCCGCGGCTCGAGTTTAGTTGAAGTTATTGACAGTTAAATAAAGAGCTGAACTCAACTCTGGTCTCGAGTCTATCTTGTTCTGGCGATAGAACACTGGCGACGAGGGTGGGATTGAGAGGACAAAGACCGTAAGCACGTGGCGAAGAGAGCCAAGAAGTCAAAGAGATGGCCGGAAATAATTCACCACCTGCACCATTCAACCCAGCCGAAGAGGACTGGGAATCATATATCGACAGGTTCCTGATGTTCCTAGAGAGTAACGAACTACAAGGAATCACGGACCAAAGGAAGAGAGCTGTATTCCTGACGCATTGCGGACCTACCATTTTTAAGATGGCCAAAGCATTGACAAAACCGCATGATGTCAAACAGATGGCATGGCCGGACCTGAACCGGATGCTGAGAGCCCATTACGCGCCTGTTGTTTTCAATCTTATTCGAAGACACGAATTTTATAAACGGGATCAACGAGAAGGCGAAAGTATCGGGGATTTCGTAGCAGCACTAAGGGACATTGGAGGAGCATACGAATTTCTCAATGTGGACGAAGCCATGAGAGACCGCGTGGTTCTCGGATTGAGAGACACTACCCTCCAGAGCAAACTACTAAATCGACCCAACATCACTGTAAATGAAGCCATCGCTGAGGCAACCACAGCTGAGGCAGCGAAAAAATCTGCGGCGAAAATGAAGCAAATGAATACGGCCAACAGCCCAAGCCAGAGCAGAGAAAAGAAAGGGGAAGGTAACCAGAAATACACTACCGCAACCACCCACCATGAAGACATCGAGTCATCAACCGACTCTGAGGACGAAGATGAAGAGGTACACAGGCTCCAGTCAGAATGGAATCGGTGAGAAAAGAGAGGAAGGAAACCTGATTTTCAGTGTGCCGGATGCGGAGGAAATCACCTGCGTTCTGAATGCCGTTTTTTGGACGCCATCTGCAGACACTGCGAAAAACGGGGGCACATTGCAAGGGTCTGCTGAAACAAAAAGAGCTATAGTCCAAAAAGACGAGGCAGCACCCGCCCCCAGAACTAAAGAGAAGCAAACCGGAAGTCGTTGGAGCCGGGAAAATAGAAGTCAGTGACTCAACGAGAAGGAAGAAACACATCAGACAATTATCATTGGGAATGCCAGAGCAACTGATGCTAAGAAGGTTCGAATAAATGTCAAAATAGAGGGAGAGCCATGTCAAATGGAAGTGGACTCCGGCTCATATCTGTCAATGGTATCATGGAACACGATAAAAAGCTTGCTACCAGACATACGACGAAAAGAACTCGAAGAGCAAAGCCTGACATTAAAAGACTACCAAGGAAACAAGATTCCGGTAGTTGGACTGGGACATTTCAAGGTAAAATTTAAGAAACACACTGAAATTCTTCCATTGACCATCGTTGACCGAGACCGCCCCAGCCTGCTTGGTTTAGAATGGTTCGCACCTTTGGGGATCAAAGTGACAGGAATCAACAGCGTCACCGAGACAGACTGGGAAGAAAGCCTGATGAAGGAGTTCCAGGACGTATTCGATGGGACGCTAGGCAAGTACCATGGGACCCCTATCTCATTTAGCCTAAACCCGAACATAGCCCCCATCCGGCTAAAGGCCAGACGTGTCCCCTTTGCGTCAAAGCCAAAAATCGATGAGCAGCTGAACAAACTCATCGCACAAGGGGTACTAGAGCCAATCGACCAAGCAAGATGGGAAACCCTGATTGTAATTCCCGTGAAACCAGATGGGTCCGTGCGCATCTGTGGTGACTATAAGGCCACCCTGAACCACGAATTACAGCAGAGCGCATACCCCGTTCCAGTAGTCCAGCACCTCTTGCACTTGTTGGGGGGAGGAAAATTTTTTGCAAAGCTCGATCTCGTGCAGGCATATCAACAATTGCCGGTTGATCCCGAGACGGCAGAGGCACAGACTATTGTAACACATAGGGGGGCATTTAAATGCAACAGATTGCAATTTGGTGTCAGCGTGGCCCCCGGCGTTTTCCGAAGCCTGATGGAACGCCTCCTACAAGGACTAAAAGGGGTGGTTCCCTATTTCGATGATGTATTGATATCCGCCGGAAATAAAAAACAGCTAAAGGACCGGCTAAGGGCAGTCTTGCAAAGGTTTAGAGAAGCAGGACTCAAGGTCAAAAAAGAAAAATGCCAACTTGCCGCAAATCAGGTCGAGTTCCTAGGATATCTTATTGATGAAGCAGGAATCCACCCCACCGAAAAAATAATACGAGCAATAAAAGAAGCACCCAGACCCAAAAACAAAACAGACTTGCAGGCATTCTTGGGACTCATTAATTTTTATAATGTCTTTTTGCCGCAGAAGGCAACAATAGCGGAACCACTGCATAGACTACTCGATAAAAAAGCCATCTGGCAATGGGGCTGACAAGAAGAAGCTGCATTCCAAAGAATTAAGGACTTAATAACATCCAAATCTGTATTAATCCAATACAGCGACACGCTACCACTGACTGTCACCTGCAACGCTCCACCATTCGGCGTAGGTGCAATACTTAGCCACACATTACCTGATGGCAGAGATGCACCGATCGCCTTTTATTCCAAAACGCTGTCAAAAGCTGAAAGAAACTACAGCCAACTGGACAGAGAAGCCTTGGCCGGTATCTCGGGGGTAAAATGCTTTCATGAATACCTTTATGGTAGGACATTTTCCTTAATTACCGACCACAAGCCACTGTTAGGAATCCTGGCAGGAGACAAGGCCACCCCCAACATCCTGTCTCCAAGGATGACAAGATGGTCGGAATTTCTTGCAGCCTACAATTACAAGCTCGTCTATCGATCAGGAAAAGCCATACCCCACACCGACGCACTGAGCTGCTCACCCCTACCAGACCACGCCGACGACCCAGCTCCCACCACACGCACCCTGCAAATTGAAACAATATCGAACCTGCCCATCACTGCATCAGACATCGCAAGGGAAACCACAAAAGGCACACTGATGGCCTGACTCCTGAACTGGGTGGGGAGGGGCTGGCCGGAAAATGACAGAAACGAGACTTTTAAACCGTTCAGAACCCGGCAAACTGAGCTGTCAATTGAAAAAGGATGTATATTGTGGGGGGATAGGGTTGTTGTTCCAAGAAAATTACAGGAAGACGTGCTGAACATGTTACATGAGGGACACCCGGGCATGGTAAAAATGAAGTCTCTGGCCAGAAGCTACGTCTGGTGGCCAGGAATAGACAAAGACATTGAAACCTGGGTAAAAACATGTAACAAATGCCAGACGTCCAGACCTACCCCCCCTTTAGCACCGGTCCTTGACTGGGAGACACCCAGAGGCCCCTGGTCAAGGATCCACATAGACTTCGCCGGACCCACAAAGGGATATACATTTTTAATCATCGTCGATGCCTACTCGAACTGGTTGGAGGTCAGCATCATGAGTTCAACAACGACTGAAACCATCACTAAACAACTAAAGAAACTCTTCGCCACTCATGAATTACCAGACGTGTTAGTCTTGGACAATGGCCCACAGTTCACAGCTTTAGCTTTTGAACAATTCCTCGCTGAACAAGGCATATGACATGCCCTGACAGCGCCAGCTCATCCGGCGGCAAACGGACAGGCGGAACGCATGGTTCGATACACGAAAGAAGCATTAGAAAAACTTGAAGGGGGCGACATGCAAGACAAAATAAATACAATGCTCACAATTCAACATATAACGGCGTGCACATCAAGAAACAAGAGTCCAGCTGAACTTTTAATGGGCAGAAAATTGTGAACATACTTGGACAGACTAAACCCCACCTACAACCCCGAGAAGCCACCAGACTCCTCCAGTAAGTACCGCACGTTTATACCAGGCAACCTGGTATACACGAAAAATCTTACTGGAGACCCATTGTGGTTACCAGCCACGATAACACAAATTACAGGCCCCCGGTCATACCGATTGGAAACGACGGACGGCAGAACCTGGAAAAGGCACATAGACCAACTACGATCTCGATACCTCAAACGCAACACCTACACACCCCGAAACATAGAGCAAACTCATGCAAAACAACCAATAAATAATAATAAAACCAGAGAGGGGGGGAACCCTTAAATAATAAAGAAAAGGAAGACCCTCCTTTAACACAATTAAAAACAGGCCACCAACCAGCAACAGAAAGCCCAAGAACAAATAAAAACTACTTACCAATAGGCGAATTCGAAAGAAGGGAGCTGGAGGAGAACCAGGGAAGAAGCAGCCGAGCCGACTCTACCTGCCCGAGTATGCCAGAAGGGAGCAGCAAGGCCCGCTCAACCAACCTAACAAAGCACGGCGGGAGCGGCATGGCGGACGCACCCTTCCAGGAGGTTCTGGAGAGAAGGACAGGAGAAACATCGATCCCGTCCGAACTGATTGAAGACAACACAGAGACTGAGCTGCGCAGGTCAAGTAGGACCCACAAAAGCCCCGCCTATTTACGTGACTACGTCACGTAAAGTTGGACCGTACCAAGAGGAGAGGGGTGTTGTATATAGACATTTGCATACTCGTAATACTACGTTCCGATTGGACAGTCACTACTGCCTAGCGATTGGTGGTTAACAACAGTTTATGATTGGCCGCCCAAACGGCGGGAGGTTTAAAATAACGCCATTGGTTGCGAGCCGCGAGCAGCCACTATAAAAGAGGCTGCCGCGGCTCGAGTTTAGTTGAAGTTACTGACAGTTAAATAAAGAGCTGAACTCAACTCCGGTCTCGAGTCTATCTTGTTCTGGCGATAGAACAGTTCCTGTAATTTAAGATAAAATTTCACAGTTGAGTTAAAACTCCCAAATCACATTAAGGGCAGCCCACAGCCATCCAATGGTTCCTCAACTCTGTAGAGTCTACAGAATTAAATACCACCTTTTGCTTGGATTTGAATGCATTCTTTTAAAAAGCCTCGTCTTTAGTCATGTAAATCTTGCTGTACGACACAGATAATTTGTGCTGGGAAAGAGATACATCTTCAGCAAAAATGTAGTGACAAGAATTACATCTGGTTCCTGTTACTGATCCCCAGCAAACAGCCAGGCTGCAGCATGGTGTTCCCTTTTCAGAGACAGCTCTACCTACAGTGGTGGGATTCAAATTTTCTTACTACTGGTTCTGTGGGTGTGGCTTGGTGGGCGTGGCAGGGGAAGGAGACTGTAAAATCTCCAGTCAGAGGTGGTATTTGCTGGTTCTCCGAACTACTCAAAATTTCCGCTACCGGTTCTCCAGAACTGGTCAGAACCTGCTGAATACCACCTCTGCCTACTTAATCTGCTTAGAGTGGTTACCTGAGAAGGACTGAAGGCATGTCATCCTAGCAAGACCTGACATCTTCAGCCATGAGCTTAGTTCAGGGGTGTGAAACTCATGTCGTCACGGCGGCGTCACATATTGGGATTTTTTTTCCCCTTTGCTAAACTGGATGTGGGCATGGCCCGTGGGTGGCGCATCCAGACCACGGGCCACGAGTTTGAGATCCCTGGCTTAGTTGATGAACTTGCCTTTAGCTGAACAAGCATATCCTTAGGTATTACCCAACATCTAGGTATTACGGTTTAATACTGAGTCTCCAGAGTCTCCAAAACTGTGATAACAACCAGTGATGGGATTCAAACAATTTAACAACTGGTTCTCTGCCCTCATGATTTCTTCTAACAACCAGTTCACCAAACTGCTCAGAAAGTTAACAACTGTTCTCCTGAACTTGTGCGAACCGGCTGAATCCCACCACTGATAACAACCCAAGCTTTCAAAAAGCTTTCTATCCAATAAAAGATCTTGCTTCTGGCTGTGGTTTTTTCAAACCTGCACTTTTGGTCTCATCTGAGGAAGCTTCAATTTACTTGACTTCATTCACAATATTACCAACAACAACATCCAGCACAGGTTTTGTATCTGAATTGTGTCCATGTACTGTATGTCTGGCCCTTTACCTGCACATATATTAAGTCAATAAAGGGCCTTTGTTTTGGAGAAATCCACTAACAACTAATTTCAGCTTTGCTTATCTTTGAAGAACAATTCAGGGATTATGTACGTTTCTACCATTGCTCTTACAGCATTTGAATATGTGTATTTCAGCTCTGCTATTTTGAACGTGGTTTCATTTTCTGTGCCCCGCTGAGTCAAAGTGCAGAAAAGTAATTCAAGTTTCTACTGAAAAGACTGAACGTAAAGCTGAAATTATTGCACTCGAGGCCTTTGGAAACATTGTGCTAAGTCCTATTGCAGAGGGGCCTGAATGTCTGAGGACCGCATGCGGTTTTCTTGATCAGAGAGCAGGATCTTCTTCCACAGCCTTGGTGCTGCATCTCCTCATCACACACGCACACGCACACACGCACACGCACACACACACACACACACACACACACAGAGAGAGAGAGAGAGAAGCTTCCCAACAAAGGAACCCCATGTTCTGGTCCAGCCAGCCGGGGGTGGGTTGTATAAGAAGGCAAAGTACAAAAGGAGGCTGAGGCACTGGGAACTCTGGCAGGGCCTTGCAAGGAGGCCCTTGTCTTTGGAGTGATCAAGGATTTCCTAAACCCACACAGCCAAAAACGTGTGGCATCCAGGCCTGGAAAAAGAGCTGCCTGGGATTCCATCCCTGCCTTTACGTCAGATTCCCTTTTACTATTGTACAGCTTTGGAAATTAGCGATCAATACCAAACAGAACGGCTGTTGTTTCAGAGAGGGCGGTGAGCCAGCTGTTTATCTCGGGCCATGTCAATGCCGTTCTTGTTAGCGTCATTTTGGCTGTCCCCTCCCTGCCCCTCCCCAACCTCACCCTAAAGAGCCACACTCTGCTCTTTGCAAGGCAGAAGATGAAGGATTAAGATACTGCTGCTGGCGGAGAACATTTCCTCTGGAGAATAGGGAACTCAGGGAAGCAAGAGAGAATAGCCAAGGCAGGCTCAGTCGATGGAGAGAATTGCCAGCTTGGTCAGAAACTGAGAGAGAGCGATTTGATGGCTGTGACATTAGGGTGAGAGACAGATTCAGACCGTGAATTAGTTAGCCGCCCTTTCTGCCAGTTAGACTTCATTAACTCCTTTGTTGTGAGCTTGCGAGCAGGAAGTGTTGTGTCCTTCCTTTCTTGCAAGGATAGCAAAGGCCATTCCTCCCTCCTTTAGAAGGATAACTACTGATCTGTCTTCTAAGGGTAGGAGTTCATTCAGCTTCCGTAGCATGAGTCAGACACTAATGCAGGTGGTCCTTGACTTACAACATTTCATTTAGTGACTGTTCAAAGTTACAACAGTACTGAAAAATATGGCTTAGGACCGTTTCTCACACCAGTTACAACCTTTTCCAGAATCCCCATGGTCACGTAATCAAAATTCAGATGGTTCATATTTATGACAGTTGCTGAGTCCCAAGGTCATGTGATCCCCTCTTGCAACCTTCTGACAAGCAAAGTCAGGATAGGCAGATTAACTTATCAGCTGCAGTGATTCACTTAACTGTGGCAAGAAAGGTTGTAAAATGGGGCAAAATTCACTTAACAAATGTCTCAGTTAACAAATGGAAATTTTGGGCTCAATTGTTGTTGTAAGTCAAGGACTATGTCAAGCTCAAAGCACGCTTATGTTGTTGGAACCATTATTGCTTCTCAACTTGCCAAAGAACCAGGGGAGAGGGAAAGGTGAGATGGAATGCAGGCTTCAGACTTCAAGAAGAAGAACCCTGAGAACCAAGGATACACCGGCAGGTGTTTGCCAAGACCAGAGACTTTTTCTCATAACAATACAATGATACTCAATTGGACAATGTGACCTGCATTAATAGGGGAGAGGGAGAATTCCATATTGTAACTATGTGTGTTTGTGTGGGAATTAGGTAGCGCTGGTTTTGCCTTCATCGGTGCCGAAATGACATACTTGATAAAGTTTTGCATTCAGACAATGGAAAGTCTCGAATGTGCTTGCTTTGTTTGGTTTTTCAGTTGCAATGTTAGCAGACGTCCTGTAATACCATCTTATGGCTCACAAGACAGTGTGTCCATCTGCCCTAGTTGTGTCTTTGTGAACTGGCAATTCACAAGTCTTTCCCGTCAGCCTCCTTTTGTGCTTTGCCTTCCTACACAACCCATCTCCAGCTGGCTAGGCCAAACATGGGGTTCCTTTGCTGAGAAGCTGTGTGTGTTTCTTTTCCAGCTTACCCGGAAAAGTTGAACTTGAGAGCATCTGCATAGGAAGCAGTTACAGTATTTGGAGAGGGAGTTGCATTCCTATCCCTGCCCCCAGGAGGCAGGAAAGAGAAATAGGTAAGAGGACCCTCTGCTAAATTAGAACCAGAGATGTTTGCAACATCACCATTTTGGGGGTGCCTCAAAGAAGGGGAAAGCAAAGAAGGGGAAGACCAGCTCCCATCAGGGATGAAGTGATGGGATTTGTAGTTGTTCTTGTAAAACACCCTTGTGAGATAACCTGACCTGCATGTGTTGATTGATGGAAATGGCATTCCTTCAGAGCAGGCATCCTAACCCTGACTCCATTGTGTACCTTGTTCCTCTTGATTAACAACATTGGAGAAATCAGAGCATTCAGCTACTTGGGCAGTATTACGAATGGGGTAGGGAAGGCTTTGGAAGTTTTGCATTCAAACAAGATGTGTGGTTTCTCTATGTAGCAAATTAACCTATCCCCAAAATGCAGGGATGAATAGCCATTTGGCATCTCCAGCATTCTCATCCTGGAAACATAATCCAAAATTCTGCTTATGATAGCAGGGTATATTTTTAATATCTGGGTCAAACATAAAAGAGGCAGGCCAAAAACGTTTTTCTCCACTGTCTCCCCCAAAATATCCCCAAACATATAGCCATATTTATTTCTATTTGGAAGACATCCAAAACCCTTTCAGATTTTTATTCTTAAAGGCAGTGGGGAGGAAGACATCAATTCTCTGAACAAGATATCACCAGGCATGCATTTATTCCAAATTATTTAGCACAATTCTTAGTTTAAAGATTCCTAGTAGGCACAACCATGGCTTTCTTTTAACAATATGGAAATGGCTTACCATTCTGTTTTCTCTTCAAGTGCAGCTGAGCTAAGATATATTGTGTGTTGCCATTAAAGACATACAAAACAGTGAAATCCTCATGTAACAGAAGGCCCAGGAGCCAACTTCAATTTTCAAATGGCAACTAAAGGAAGTTGGATTTTTTCTTTCCCCACGTGTGGAGTGAAATAATATAGACCTCTTCTGGGGATTCCCTACCAGCAAGGTTACCACAGAAATGACCTCAGTTCTGATGAAACCTAACTTCACTTCCGGCAAAATGGAGTCTGTACAGAATATACCAGAATAACAGAGTTGGAAGGGACTTTGTAGGTCTTCTAGGCCAAACTCCTGCTCAAACAGGAGACCCTATTGACAAGTGGCTGTCCAGTCTCTTCTTGAAAGCCTCCAATGATGAAGCACCCACAACTTTTGAAGACAAGCTGTTCCATTGATTGTTGATTGTTCTCCCTGTCAGACAACCTCTCCTTATTTCTAGGTTGAATTTATCTTTGATGAGTTTCCATCCATTGTTCCTTGTCTGGCCTTTGGGTGCTTTGGAAAATAGGTTGTCCTCTTCCGCTCTATGACAGCCCCTCAACTACTGGAAGACTGCTATCAGGTCACCCAATCTAGCATATTACCTCAGTCTCAAGGAAGCTCTCACTTAATAGGAAGCTCCTATTTAATAAAAAAATCCTTCTGAGACAATCAGAAATCAAGCAGCTCAGACCAACATGGACAATTCTTTAACCATCTGCATTTTTTTAAAAAATGATATCAGATTGCTACAGATATCTTCGAACTTCAACCATTGACTGTTCAAAGTCAACACTGAAAAAAAGTGACTTATGACCATTTCCCACACTTAACGACTTTTGTAGCATCCCCGTGGTAACATGACAAAATTTGGATGCTTGGCAACTGGCATGTATTTATGAGAGTGACAGTGCCCCAGGGCCATATGATCACCTTGTGCGACTTGACAAGCAAAGTCAAAGGGAAGCCAGATTCACTTAACTGTGTTACCAATGGCAGTGATTCACTTAATGCTTGTGGCAAAAAAGGTCATAAAATGGGACACAACTCACTTAAGAATTGTCTTGCTTAGCAACAGAAATGTTGGCCTCAGTTGTGATCATAAGCCAAGGACTTAGTAGAAGTGCCTTCAATATCCAGCCACTAAAAGCATGCTTAGGCCAAAAAGCCTTGAAACCTATCCAAACATGAGCAAATTTTGACTGGTTGAAAACAGTGTCAGGATTGTAGCAGGAGATGGACACTTCATAGGAGCGTATGTAGAGGTGAGTTTATCAGTGCAGAAACTTATTTACATTAATGGGTTAATATGCGCATGCTCAGATTGGATAAACTGTTAAAACGAGTCGGGAGAGCTTCACTGGGTGACTCTCTGAAGCACTGCTGGAAGAGGAAATAAGGTTTTGCCAACCCTTGCTAAGGAGGCTCTAATATGACCTTTGATCTATGATCTCTTGGATTCTATCACTCCCTTTTTCTCCCTCTCCCGGCATGCTGCTTGTCATCTCCTTGCTACTTCGCTGCTTGTAGCCCCTCCTCATATCTTGAAGTCAGTGTGCCAATTTCCTGAGTTAGCTCCTCGTTGAGGTGGCTGATCTGGACTTAGCAAGGTTGTCTGCTATCCAGCTGAAAAGAGAGTCAACTGGAAGTCAACTGGATCCATCAACCAAGAAGGGAAGAATGTATAAATACAGTAGACCCCCTAGTCTCATTTTTAAAAATCTTAAATATGAATATACCACACTTTATTTATATATCACACTTTATTTATTGACATTGGAGTCAATAAATAGCAAATATGTCAATAAATAGTGAATATGTCATCATGCACCGAAACAGACAATAAAACCATATAAATGGCAGGCTACGGTAGCAATGAAATCTATATGCAGACGAAGGCATATTTCATATTAAAATGGCAGTACTGCCATAGATTTGTCAACATAGTTGGTTCCTTCCATTCCATGCTGGTCTACAGGTTCACTGTGCTTTCTTCTGGGCAAAACAGAAACTGTGGAGTACTTGATGCTCTCTGAGCTTGGTTGTTTGCTTGCAGATGTTTCTTTATCCAACTAAGTAACATCATCAGCATTCCACAGTTCAACCCTGAGATATTTCCTTCAGTTGGAAAGCAAAAAATGTACTCGAACCTGATTCTGCTTTACTGTTTGTTTTTTAAATTATAGTAAAACTAGAATGTGAAATTGTGGCTTAGGATCCTCAAACATGATTTGCATTAACTATAGCTAAATGTTATAGTTTCACTAAGCAACTGGAGTTAAAGGGCATTGCTGCCCATAAGGGGAGCAAATGAAAAAAAATGGTTGTATCCCAGGTGTGAAGTAGTGTTTTCTTGAACACTCCACACAGGTTGATCTACTACAATTGGATTTGTATTTTGCACTAAATGATGGTTTATTGAATAAAGCACGATTCAGCAGAATCTTCCAGCAGTCTATGTTATAAACCAGAGGTATAGAAAGTGTAACTTACCTGCACCATTTTTCAACCCATGGAGTCTCTCTGGAGTAGGCAGACATTGTCATCCATGAAAGAGGGGAACGAGGGCAGCATTTCATCCCTCCAGATAAGATCCACGGTGACTCTTCTCTCTCTTCCTTAAGAATGCTATCCTCAAGGTAACAGAGGTAGACTGCCTATACCATAAATCATGGTTTACAGATTATGGTGGCTAGGTTCTGAAAACAAGCTAAAAAGCAGCCCCGGATTGAGCATTACAAACACAAAAAACCACATGCTTAGGGCACCAAGGGAAGGAATTTTCTCCCCTACCTATCAAGCCCTTAACTATTTAACTGCCACATTCAACTTTAGTTTTTAATGCTTGTTGAGTCTTAATGTCTTGGCCGTAAAGCAGTTGAAAGGCTGAGGAGCTCCGTTGTTGGGCTATGCTTAGGGCATCAGCTGGCCTTCATCTGGTCCTAGCTAAAAGGACACTGTTCTCAGGGTTTCATCTAATTTCAGCTAAACTCTCTCCCTGCTCCATTTTTCCAAGCAGAGATAAAAAAAAGTAGGTTTATTACAGAGAATGAGGGAGCCATACAAAGACATACTCTAAGAGCCTGCTGCTGTCTCTATATGCTGGTCTCCAAGTTTTATTCCTGAGTAGCTCTCGTTCTGCCCTTTGGGGTCAGTGGTTGCCTACTGCTTGGTTCCCAGCTGAAAGATTTCCGCCATCTGTCTCTTGCTTCTCACCTGTCTGGGGGTGAGAAACGATGTCTGGCTCTGCTGTATTTGAAACCACAGTGAAACTCATATTTCAAAGGGAATTCTGGATTCTGGCTCCTTCAGAAGGCAAAGGATGTCTGGATGCCTGTCCAACTCCTCCTCAATGGCTGTGGGGATCTTCTGCCTACAACCAGGAATACACAATGGGAGGTAAAGAGATCAATATGAGGGTAGGGTGGAAAATAAGAACTTTATTTTTCTTTTGTACAAGGAGATTTCTCTAACTCCAGGAGCTGCGGCAGGTTGGGCACTGGCTTTGATTCCTGGTCCTCCAGGTTTGTGGTCAGAAAAAGTATTTATTTGAAGGTGATCACATAACCATGTAAGTGCTCCCAAAGGCTTTGGAAGGAACTGGGGCATGGAAGTTGTCAAATCAAATAAGTGCTCTAAGCACGAAGAAGGAACTTCCCTTTCTCGGGGGTCTGAAATTGGAATCATGGTTTGTTTTAACCTTGGTTAGTTATTCCAGGAGAAATTTCTAATTAAGGAGAAATTTCCTGACACTAATAAAGGAGAATATTTGTAGTTCAGGGTTGACATGAGGGGTCCTTGGTGCTCTCTGAGCTTGGCTGTTTTCTTGCAGACGTTTAATTACACAAACCAGGGGTGGGATTCAACCGGTGTTACTACCAGTTCGGTGAGAGTTACGTTTTGTGTGTGCGCTCGCGCTTTGTGCACACATGTGCGTAACGTGCACAGCGCACGTGTGTAAAGCATTTGCAAAACCACATCAGCCGTTGCCTGGATAGCTGACAAGCGCTGCACGTGGGTGTGCAGCATTAGAAAATCCTCTTCTTTCCTGCTTTTTCAACCTCAGCTGTGCCGCGCAAAGCAGCTGAGGTTGAAAAAGCAGGAAATAAAGGACAGCCAAGAACCCGGGCGAGCGGGTAGGCCAAACAAATGACTAAAAGGTTGTCGCATTAAACTGGTTTGGTGTCTGCTGCTCCTCCAAGCTACCGGTTCTATTGAACCGGGCCGAACCGGTAGCATCCCACCCCCTGACCCAAACTAGGTAACAACACTGATGATGTTATCTAGTTTGGGTAATGAGACATCTGTGAGAAAACAAGCTAGCTCAGAGAGCATCAAGGACCCCCACAATTTTCTGACAGCTAGAGCAATTAATTAGTGGAACAACTTGCTTTGAGAACTTGTGGATGCTCCAACACTGGAGGTTTTTAAGAAGAGTTTGGACAACAATTTGTCTGAAATGGTGTAGGATTTCCGGCTTGAGTAGTGGGTTGGACTGGAAGACCTCCAAGGGTCTTTCCAACTTTGTAATTCTGTTATTCCATTGTCAGAGGAAGGCAAGGCACAGATTCCCTGCTTTAAAAAAAACCTCTTTCTTTTGCAGTACTGCTGGGGCCTTTTCCCTCAGAGACATGGAGATAATCGGTTCCAATTCAGGGCAACCACTTCTTGGGTGGGGAACAAATGAATGATCTGATGCTCTGAATGGGGATAGAATTATTCCATCATGCATGATCCTGCTAGGATCAGGTTTCTTCGGAGTACAGTATGTACAGATACTGGCAGACACGCCCTTTACAGAAGAGCATTTAAGCACAAGCAAGATGACTTTTTTTTATTATCGCCCTCTGGCTTGGGGCAAAAATGCAGTGCCAGACCTCATATTAATGGACATACGCAGACATTTCATGCTCCCTGCGTGTGTGTGAATCTGTGCCTGAGCGCATGGTTGAAAACCTGGATCCCCCACTTCCTGCTAAGTGAGAGGAAGACAATAAGTATCTCATGTGCAAGTTCACTGAACATGAATCAACAATCTGTTGAGATGCGCAGCAAAAAATAAAAGGCTATTTTGAGATGTGTTAACGGGATAATTATGTGTAAGTCATGGGGCGCAGCATCAGCAGTTCCACTTGGCTCAGCGTTGCTCAGAGCTTGGCTAAAGGGCTGCATTCAGTGGAACCCCCTTTCTTGGGATGGAAACAAAGAGCAAAAACCCTGGTCTGTAGATTGTTCCACCTCCCCGCCCCTCCTGCTTCAGAAAGAACTGTGTCTCAAAGGTTGTAGATCTTTCCTTCCCAGGCTCTGGGTTGTGCCTCTGCTTTATCTCCATGAAGTCTTCTGTCAAAACAGAAGAAAAATGCCACCCTGATGCATTTGGGGCAAGACTCTGCCAAACCTTTCCTAGCCTAGAAGCACCAAAGAGCTCTGTATCTGCCTCTCAACTTATGTCCCTTCCCACCCACGCATTGTTCCATTCGGGCTTCAATGCCGCTCTTGTCCAGAACGCAGAGACCCATGGCCGGCCAACGGGCCATGCCTTCCCCCTTCCTGACTTGTCTGTTGCAAAACGAGAAGGAAGGGAACATTCCACACCCACAAAACTGAACCCCCCAGGATGATTCAGGATCCAGCTGCAGGGACAAGCTAAAAAACCCAAGGGACTAATGGTAAGATATCTTTGCCAAGTGAAGTTTTTCTTCCGATGCTCCGAAGGTACAAATCAAAGGATGGTCTCCAGCCATCAGTCTCACCCTGAGATAAATCCCCATCGCAGCTGGCCAAGAGTTGGTCTGCTTTTCCTGCCATGAGAGTGGGCTTCAAAAATTTTAGCAAAGAGTTCTCTGCCCAGTTGCTGAGTGGGCATGACCATGGTGGGCGTGGCCTAGTCGGCCTCCTGCACCATGGTGGGGGAGGGGGCGTTTTTGCCCTCCCTGTCCTCTGGAGGCTTTCCTTGAGCCTCCCGGAGGGTGAAAATGGCCTCCCCTGGGCTCCGGAGGCTCTCTGGAAGCTGGAAACGGGCCCATTTCCAGCCTTCTTGATCTTCCAGCCCATTTTTCACTCTCCCCGAACCTCTGCACGTGCCCTGCACTTACCTGCATCCAAAACAGGCCTCGTGGGGATTCCTGGGAGGGGCAGGATGGGGTGCGGTGGGCGGGGCCAGCCAGGTGTGGGATTTGGGGGTTCTCTGAACTGCACAAAATCTTAGTTAGGGCTCTCCCGAACCCCTGCGAACCCCCAGCAGCCCACCACTGGAGTGGGATGGAGCATATGGTGTAGTAGTCTACTTCCTTATCCTGTAATAGGACCATGAAGTCTAAAAATGGGATGTTTCAGTAACCTCCACTGTGGCCTATATTTTCGCTGATCTTCTTTGACACTGTATTTGGAGGAGGAAGGGCATAGAAAGAAAAGAGAGGAGGGAGCAGTAACAATCAATGAGACATGAGTGGAGATGAAGAAATCTCACCCAATCCATTTTGATTAGGCCTAGAAATTACTCTCCGCCCGGTCTGTTGCACTTTTAACCCGGTTCTTTCTGCTCAGCATTGCAACCTTGGATTGGATTGGTAGATTGGGAAGATAGAGCGTTTGCTTTCTGTTGTTCAACATCTCTAATTGCTAAGCACCAATCTCAACTTCACCAACACCATTATCGTTACCATGACTTCAAAGCAAACATCCATCCCAATTTTCTCCGACGGAAATGGCTTTAACTCAGCAACTCCTATCCATGGCTATTTGAAAGCAGCTGCACCTTAAACGGATGAAGAAAATACTGTGTTGGTCTCATCATTTGTTACTAGCATACCTTTGGGAAGCAGCCCAGCCATGGAAGGGTTGGGGCTGTAAACACACAACGCAATTTAGGCAACAATAAATCCGGGTAGCTTTATTTCTCATCGTATCCAGCATCTTCAATGTCTGAATATACATGAAGATTTTTTTAAAAAAAATTCCTGGAGTGTTGATTTGATACAGACTGTGTGTTTAAATTGTAAGAAAAGTCTTTGTGACCAATTATGTAAAGGACATACTGTTAAAAAGAACGTAGCATAAAAAGAAAGATTTTCAAATCAGGCAGCATTTCAAAGCCCACAAAAATGCCACACATAATTTTGCAAAGCAGCAAAAATCATAACGAGCAGAGAAACTACTTTTTTTTAAAAAAAAAAAAAAGTTTGGTTCTATAAAATAGCAACAGATATTGCTCAATTGCTGAAATAATTACATTTCTAATTGTTTCAATTGTCTTTCAGGGATGTCTGAGACTGTATAAATAATCAGTAAATAAAAAAGGGCATGTGGGCTTATTTTTTTGATTCTGTGAGAAAATAATCTGAAAAATACAAGAGATTGCAGCAGGTATCTCTGCCAATAGCAAAGTGGGCTAGTTCTAAAATCCAAAATGAAACCATGCTTAATTTGGTTAATCATACAAAGGATACTTTAAAAAAACAAACCACTATCTTGTAGAGTTCACTGATGAAAGTACTTGGGGTTGATTTGCTGACCGAAGGAAGAAGGTGAGTGTGATGTCTCCATGGAATTACATTGGATGCTAGGTGATTGCATCGAAATATCCAGGATAGTGTTATAGAAGTGGTTTGCTATTGCTGTCTTTGGCTGCTGTCTTTTTTTTTTTTAATACCCAACCTTAGCGTACAGCTCTAATCTTTCCAGGTAGTTTCCCATCTAACTGCTAACCACATCTGATTCTATGTAGTGTTGGAAGAAATGTCCGTCTCAGTTCAGTTCCAAGTGGGGAGAAAGACACTGGAAACATGGAGGCTGATTGGAAAGATGGTTTAATGCAGCAGAACCATTAGGCACTTGGTCCTGGTGCAGCTGAGCACATGGAGTGGAGAGTAAGGGCTATTTATATCCTCTCTTGGGCTTTGAACTTGAGCTTCCTGTTCCTGTGCCAAGGGCATGTATTCTATTGGCTGTAGTCAGACTCCCATATGGAGTCATGTTTGTCTGAATCAAGTTTAGTTGAACCTTGGGCTGATGTAATGAAGGGGCTTTGTTGTTGAGTTTCTATTGTGGCTGAATGGTTTTGCCCATCATCCTGGAGCTAAAGGTCTTTTGTTTTGTAGATAGTCTGGCACCAAAATATCTGCTGGGGCAAGGAGCTGGGGCTGAGTTTCTGTGTCCCTTAAGATTTCTATTTCTCTTTTAGGGGAAATATTTTGCCTTTTTAATATTTCCTAAAATATTTCATTCTTCTAGGGTGGCTGCTAACTCTACAGGAGTGTGGCCTTGACAAAGTCAGCTGAGTGTTGCCACGTGCTGGGATCAGCGCAGGGAAAGACACTGAAAGTTAACAGTTGCTTTTTGATGCCTGGCAAACATGAACAGAAATATCTGTGGGTAGGTTAGAGCATTCACCAACTGTTCTGACATCTGAACATTTCTGATGAGCTTCCGCTTACATTTTTACAAGCTAATTACTCAGCCATATGATGGGGTATCAGTTTTGAAAGGCACATCCTGGGGTATTCAAGTTTCTCTCTCAGAAATCTTGATCAAAACATGTTTCTTTGTTGCTTTAATCTAGCTGTATTTGTTGGTTGAGGCACAAAGGAATGTTTAGATGTGTACAGTTGTTATGGCTTTTATTGAAAAAAGGGACATGTTGCTTGGATTTACAGAAGCTCTTCTTTCAAATGTTTGCTGGTTCAGCGATTGACTGAATACTTGGATTCAGACAGAGTTAAGCAGACAAAGACAGCATTCTTTGCCTCTCGAGTTAATTGGAGTGTCTTCCCCTTGAGAAAATGTGATCATCTGAAAACTGAAGCAATTGGATTGCTCAGTCAAATCTGTGGGATTTCTTCTTTTTTTTTTCTTTTGCAAACGATGTTGAAAATATCACCGTGGAGGAGAAAAACATGTATTTTGAGGTTGTATTGAAACATGTTGATTGGGTGGGGAAGTACTTGCCAGAAATGAGAGCCGAGGCTGTGTTCAGGCAATACTTTGAAGGATTCAAGAAGCTAATTAATTTGCTAAATATAATTGAATGGTTATGTGCTGTCAGATTGTTTTTGACTCCTAATGATTACACAGATTCTTCTCCGTGATCATGTATTACATCCATAACTTGGTGTTGTGGGTCTTCCAACAACGCACTCCTGTCCACTGTAACTGAGTCCATCCATCCACTTCCACTTTTCCCAGCCTTCTCCATAGGGCTGGGTCTTTTCATATTGTGTCCAAATTTCTAATCAGAAGTGGCCTTCAAAATTTCTTCATGAGCTTAAACCATTGTTTTATCATGTTATTTATAATTGCGATTCACATTTCATTTCATTGAATTAACCCACAAAGTGAGCATGCATGGAACAACAACATCTTAACCTTAAAAAGGATAGCAATTAAAAAAAGAGAAAGAGGAGGTCTAAGAGTTATATTGGAAGCAGAACAATTCCAAAAGTTAGACCGTGTAGGCCGCCCTCGACCTAAG